AAGTGGGCGCTGGAGCACCAGGCGGTGCGGAAAGTCGGGACGAGCCCTGGGCAGCTGGAGGCGGGGAGCGAGCCGAGTCTACTCCTGCCGGGCACGCTCTGCCTGCCGTGGGCCGGCCCGGAGTCTGGGCCACTCCAACCCTCGGACCTCTCCATTCTTCTGCTCTCTGAAATACCCAAGGTTTCTCTGGGCCGCCATGACAGGCCCCACGGAGCCAGAAGGCCAGGGGTCCTGGGGGCTTAATTTGTGCCCCCACCCCCGTTGTTCCCCCACGTGCTTCTCCCATCCATTCTGCAGCCAAAATGGGGGCAGGGAGTAGGATTATTTTAGAAAACTGTACTGACGGATTGCCAATTCTTGGATAGGCATGAGTAAAATCTGGAAGTATCTTTGGAAAATAATTTTTCATTTCATTTTCTTGTCTCATTATTCCTACTTTGCTTGTCCCATTCCACCCTCGCTACAACCCTATAAATTAAATGTGTACCCCATTCTACAGATAAGGAAATAAGGGCATGGAATACCTTGCACCGTTTGTGCAGCCCAGATGCCAACCCAAGCAAGAGGCTTCGGTCTCAAAAACCCAGACTATTTGGAGAAGTAACTTCACTATGCTTCTGTCTAAGATGCACCAACTCTGTCTGCTCTGACGTTCAGAATGATACTGTTCTGCGCTTCCAGTCAATGCCCTCATCTCAGTGCACTGCTGAGAATTTCTGTTAGGCACACTCTTTGTTCTTTGACCAAATTAGGAAACATATGTCTCTGGCATCTGCTTCACCAGGTTTTCTTAACCTCAACCTCTGCTCAGATAAAGGTAAACAATACTTCCTGAAGAAATTGGCAGTTCCCCATCCCTACCCATCTTGCAGCAATAACTGCTAACAGAAACCAAATCTAGTCAATTCTGTCTCCTAAGAACCTTACAAGGTTCTACACAACAGTGTAGAGGGCTCTGTAGACTTGCCAAGGCTGTAAATCTTTTCTCTCTCCTTCATTGCCATGGAGTCCGAATTGACTCATAGCTGAACTTTCAGCAGATTTTCAGCGGCTGTAAATCACATGAGAGTAGACTGCCATTTGCAGAGGCTAATTGCCACTTTTTTCTCTCACAGACTAGCTGGTGGGTTCGAACCAGAAACCATTCTTTTAGCAACCAAACCTTTAGTAACCGAACCGCATCTAGAAAGCCTAATCCACTGCCTTCCACCTGACTCCAATTAAAAGCAACCCCCCATTCTCTGAGGCTGCAAATCTTTATGGGCGGAGGCTGCTCAGTGGATTGGAACTGCTGATCTTTCTGTTAGCAGCCTCACACTTAATACTTAAACTAATTAACAGCCTGTGAGGAGAAATCTCTGGTGTGCTCCAAGGAGGCAGAACATCTCACTAAGAACTACAAGAATAAACAGGACTGGTCTCCATGACCTAATATCCTATACAATGGCCACTCCAAACAAAAGGGTTGCCTGAGAAATACAAATCATAATACTGACTTTGTTGTGTTGTTAGTTACCATTCAGTTAGCTCAAAGGTCACTCTGCTTGTTCCTGCACCATCTTCATGATCTTTAGCATGCAAGAAACAATCGTGGTTGTCATTATTTATTTTGAGTGCATTCCAACTTGAGTTCCTCATCCAGTGCTGGATCTGAAAATGTTTACTGCTGTTTATAGTATTTCACTGGCTAATTGTTTTTGTTGTTGTGTTGTGTTGTTGTTGTTGTTTTCTTCAGCAAATCTTGGGCCTTCTTCCTAGTCTGTTTTTGACAGGAATTCTAAAGAAAACTTTCCACCATGGACCACCCTACTGGTATTTAAAGACCCATTACATAGTTTTCAGCATCATAGCAACACACACATTGCCACAGTGTGACAAATTGAAGTATGGGTGGTGGATAATGCTGATTACTAACAGTCATTGACACTATGTGTCAATTTTATTTCTAAGCTTTCAGTCAATGCCCTCTTCACCCTGTGGTGCTGAGAATTGACTCACATCCAATTCCCTGATTTATAATCTGGATTAGTATGTGAATTTTTAATTAATGTCAAAGGAGGAGTATTAGGGGTATAGTCCATGAAGTTGGACAGCTAACCCAAAAGCAGTGCCTCTCTCTGGAGATCAAGCTCACCAAGGGAGAAAGATGGGCAATCTCTTCCCATGTAATTTACAGCCTCCAAAAACCTGCTGGATGCTATGAGTCAGTTGCAACTCAATAGGAGTGAGACTAACTTCTTGAATTTATGGAAAAGTGCACACATATATTGAGGTCATTCTAGCAAAATAAATTCAAGGTCTCTGGATAGGGCAAACAGTTACAAATTTGGTTACTTAACCAAAAGCTTGAAGATTCCAATCCACCTAGAGTCACCTTTGAAGAAAGGCCTGCTGATCAATCTAATTGAACATAAGAGATTATAAGCCAAGTTGTTGTGATTGCTATCAAGTCGAGCACAACTCATAGCAACCCTATGAACAAAAGGCCTGAAGCCTTTCTATAACTATTGTCATTTATCAAAGTTCGTAGAGTTTCCAGAAGGATGTTGTCTAGGAAGTGGATGCCACTCATGCTTCCAAATCTGCCTTGAACTGGGAGTTCCACCAAACACTGTCCACCACAGGCAACTATTATGGCATTTGACACCCACAAAGCATAGTTAGACACTCATAGTGCATCAAAAATCAGAATAAGGACAAATCTTTTTGTTGCTGTTTGTTAATGAATTTGCAAAATAGCTAGAACTAAAAACACAAGCAAAGAGATAAATTTTAATTAGCATTGCCATCATATTCCATTTTGCTTCACAACTTGTTGTTCTTGTTAAATGCCGTAGAGTCACCTGCAACTCATAGCGACTTTTATGTCCAACAGCTCTAAAGCCAACCTCGTCCTGAGCCAGCATCATTAACTCCAATACACCTACCCCCACTGCCTCAGGTACTGTATCAATCCATCTCATCTGGGGTCTTCCTCTCCTGGACTGCCCCTCCACCCTTCCGAGCATGATGTCCTTCTCCAAGGATCAGTTCCTTCAGGCCACATGGTCAAGGTATATGAGATGAAGGTTCAAAATCCTAGTCTTCCCTCTTCGAAAACTGGTAGTTGGAGCATTCTGGATCAGAGTACATGAATCAATACCTGAAGCTGGTCCCTTCGCTGCCCCCAATGGTATACTTTCTCTTCCTTTTCTCTCTGCCTCTCTGTTTCTCTGTGTCTGTCTCTGTTTCTGTCTCTTTCTCTTTCTTTCTTTCTCTCTCTCTCTGTATATATCCCCCTCTCTCTTTCTCACATACACTCTCTCACACACACATATGTGCACGTGCACGCACACACACAGCAAACCCCGTTTCAGTTGGAGTAAGGGTAGAATCACTGGAAATACCATCCCCCAATAGTGTTTCCTGTTCCACTTCCCAGCATAATTTCTTAACCTCAGGAAAGGGTATCCATTGGCTGGAATCTTGTCTCAATTGTGTCCCTCCTATACACGCATTCACATTGTTTTCTCTCATTTAATGAAAATCTAGGAGGTATCTTTTATGCAAGCTCTATGCTCCTCCTCAAACCCCCATGAGGAAAAATTATAAACCCAGCAGTCAACAAGGAGGGAAAAAAAGGAAAAGAACATATCTCTAAGAAATGCAAACCTAAATAGTTATGTTTGTAAACTGGCATTAAATAATGAATTACTTCCAGTGGCACCTTGAGGATCTGTACCAAGAATGATTAGAATTAGCTCATTCACATTTTTGAAGCAAGTCAACAAAAGAACTAGCTTTTGTATTCCAGAGGTTTATAATAAATGATGCTAAATAAAGAACTGTGCAGTAATAAAAGGTGCAGAATGCTGTCAGACCTACTACAGCCTAAGAAAAGACAGAAGCATTTTTCTATTAAAGGGGAAGTTTAAAAAAAGATGATTTTTTCCCTCCCCACAAACACACGGATTTCTGAAGCCATAAGAAGGCAAATATCTTACAACCAAAAAGCATGTCCTCCTATACGTCATTATCTTTCCTTTTGACCGGAGCCTCTAAAATGTAAAAGGAAACAATTGTCTCCTGCTGTCCATTAGCACCTCCCTCTCCTGTTTCCTCAGTTACAGATCCCAGCTTTACCAGCTCTCATGGAAAATATTTCCTACTTACTCTCTCCCTGTGCTGTCAAATCAAGTTTCATTCCATAATCCTTTATATTGAGAAAGATCAACCACACAGAAAAGATGACAGAATGGAGCACCTGGCTTGCCCCTCCTCCAATGCAGGACCCATAGTATTCAATTCCCAATTTGTATTTACTGTTTTTCCATCAAAGTATCTGTCCCTAAATACAATACATTCCTTTGTTTGGATTTTACCTTTATTTAAATTGTCTTAGACACAATGTACCCTATGAGTTTATACCCATAACATTATGCTTCCAATGTTAGTCTTTGTATTTACAGATAGCTGCAGTTTTTTCATTCTTTCATTGCAAGTAAGTGCAGTAATCTGCTTATCAGTTCTGTATATAATCATCTAGGTTATTTGAAAAAGGACATCATACTTGCAAAGGTAGAGGGTT